TTAACCGCTAAATACTCTCACACACACACACACATACACATACTCTCACACACATACATAGAAATACGCTGGCAACAATTAATTTCAATACATAAACAATTTGCTAATTTGTGCAATGTTTGCGCATTCTGCTTCTTCTCATTTACAGCGGCATTGTCGCTTAAAGCATTCCGGGGATATTCGGATCGAGACCCTTGAGCGCAGCAGCAACGGCGGCGGCGCTGCGCCCATTTACCGTCCGCAGGGCGCCGGCGCCAGCAACGAGTCTCAAGCACTCAACTACAACAGCAACAACAACAACAAGCCTAGCCAGAACAACAACAACAATAACAACAACATTAGCAGCCTGCTGAGCAGCAAACAGCTGGAGCAGCTGCTCCACTCGCCCCTCTCCGCCAGCACCGCAGCCGTGGTGAATGCAGCCAACACACAGCAGGATCTGGAGGTGGCGGCCGCCTGCTGGGCCGCTGCCTATAAGGCGGCCAATGCCATGGCCAGCGCCGGCAGCGCCGAGGAGCTCGTCCAGTTGCAGCAGAACGATCAAATCGAGATCACTCGGCTGCCCTCAGCTGCTGCCATCAACAGTGCACAGGATTTGTTGCCCAACAACAGCAACAACAACAACAACACGAAGAGCAAGCAACAAAAGTGTCCCGTCTGTCCGTACATCTCGGAGAGCAAGTCCCAGATGAACTACCACGTCTCGCTGCACAAGCCCACGCAATACGAGTGCCAGCTGTGTACCTTTGTGTGCGCCAAGAAGCAGCATCTCAGCAGCCACATGCGCAGCGTGCACCAGCAGCAGCTGGGCGCCGCCGCAGTTGCCGCCGCTGCCGCTACCGGCGCTGGCCTGGACTTCAGTGTGGCGCTGCAGCTGGCGGCCGCCAAGCAGGCGCAGCAGCTGCCGGCCACAGCGCCGCTGGCCATCGATCTGAGCCAAATGCAGCTGGAGGAGAGCTCTGCCGGGGAGATGCAGGCGCAGCAGCTGCCGCCGGAATATCAATACAAGCTCATCAGCTACTGTCCACGCTGTCCAGCTCGCTTCGCCCAGAAGCACAACGACGAGCACAACGCCAAGCTGGAGCTGGAGCAGCATTTGGCTGCGCATGCGCCCAGCGAGCAGGAGGCGGATGAGTTGTTCGTCTGCACGTACTGTGAGTATCGTGCTGGCGCCGAGACTCTGCTGCAGCTGCATCGGGCGGTGCACATGTCGCACTACCAGGAGAAGTGTCAGCAGCTCTACAGGAATTGCAAGGAGGATTTCGCCTATCCGGCACCCAAGCTGCTGCAAATCAGCGGACCCGAGACCATTTGGGTGGTGGACAACGACCTGGGCGCCCAGCTGTTGCGTCAGAGTGCCTTCGGCTCGTCCAGCCCCGTGAGCAGCAGCTTCGACGGCCAAAACTCGCTGCTGAAGAAGCAACTGGAGTCGGGCAGTGGCGGCGGTGCAGTGGGGCGTGAGCTGACGCCGCCACCCAAGATCAAGGAGGCCGAAGAGGATGCCGATGAGGAGCGGCACAGCAGCTCGACGCCCTCGACGAGCGCCTCGGTGGCCACCAGTGACCTGGCCGCCGATGCCAGCAGCGATGCTGGCTCCCTGGACATGCCGCAGTCGGCGCCGACGCCGCTGCGCTGCCAGCACTGTCCCTTCGAGACGCTGCAGCACGAGGAACTGCAGCAGCATCTGCAGAAGCATGCCTGCATCAATGAGCCCAGCGCGGAGGCCATGCAGTGCGCTCACTGTGACTACAATGCCGTGGAGGAGGCGGAGCTGGACGAGCACACGGCGGTGCACTTCAATGCCAGCGAGAAGCTGAAGTCCGTGGACTTTTTCACGTGCTACGACAAGCTGGAGATCAGTGTGGAGCAGGACGCCCAGTCCCAGGAGGCAGACAAAGAGCAGACGGAGCATAACAACAACCAGGACAATGTACTCAATGCCAATGTGCAGCAGCAGGAGACAGATGCCGAGCAGCCTGAGCAGCAGCAGCTCGAGCCGGAGACAAAGCCCAGCACTAAGCTCATTCTCTACAAGAACGATGGCGAGCTGAGCGTGAAGCCACCCAATTTGGAGGAGGATAAGCAGCGCGTGGAGAATATCAGCGATCGCCTGAGGCGACGCAGCTTACGTGGCAATGCAGCAAATGCCACGCCCACAACGGCGTCAGAGCCGTGCGCGGAGGGAGCGGATAAAATGATACTGGTCAATGCCAAGACGGGCAAAGTCCTGTACCGCAAGTAGGCGTGGCCGGGACCAAACTATTATTATTGTATTTGACGTATTGCATAAATGTTTATGTTATTATTATTATTATTATTATTATCATTATCATTATTATTATTATTATGATTATTATTATTATTTTAATTATTTGATTTCAGTTTTTTGGGGCTTGTTAATGTTTTTTGTTTGTTTTTAACTGGGTAATTAGTTGTCGAGTTTTGTTTTAAGCACCAATTATTGTTTAATTGTTACTAACAAAGGAAAATCACACACACACACAGATGGACATGTTCCTGCACTTTTAGGTCTAACTGTAAGTTGCTAAAGAGAAAACAATTAATTTCAAGGGAAAAATTAATTTAACCAGTGGCTAAATATATTAGCTATTTATTGTATTTTCTTCCAAAATTTTATTCAGATTTCCATTTCATATATGATCAAAAATTATGTATAGAAATAAACCTAGCTGTAAGGCAAGATCCAAAAGCGTTTCAAAGAAATCCAAACTGGTTCATGACAAAATCAAAAATTAAGAAAAACATAAATCTAGAACTAAAACAAAAACTAAAAACAAATTCAAAATTCGTCTTGCAAACAATTTGATTTTGAATGGGAACTGTGATTATTGAATATTGTAAATTAAAAACAACAACAACAAAGAAAGGAGAAATTTAATTGTAAAAAATACAAAATATCATTCAATGAATATGGTACTATATAAAAAGTATATATAAAAATTTATACATATAAAAATATTTACAACAGCTGCTAAGGGAAATGAGAAGAAAATATTCAAATTGATAAACTTTAAATAATTTGCAATATTTGCAATTTACAATTTATTTTTTTGCAGCAAACACACACACACACATACATATATATACATATTCGATAAGTACTATAGTTATTAATTTATAGTTAAAATTTAAAGTTTCAAATGGTTTTGTTTAACTATATACAAACAATGTTAAAAAAAAAAAAAACAAAAAGAAAACTACACTAAAAAAAAACAGCAGCAGTTATCATAAAATCTAAGGAAATGTACACATGTGGAATAGCGGGGCCATATTTAAATAGGTAAAAAAAAAAAAAACAAAACAAAAAAAACAAAAACAAAACACTTAGACAAAACAAAATAAAGAAAAGAAGAAAATATAAGAAAAAGCAAAACAGAATATGCAGATTATACAGAAACTTAATTGAATTAATAAACGCAACCGCCTTTGATATGCATACATACATACGTATGTATGTATGTGTATATACATATATATGAAATAGTCTTTAACAATAAAATACTTCTAATTAGTTTAGTGTAAATAACTTAGTTTTTGTTTACTATGCACAGACACACACACACACACACACATTTATGGCATAAATTTAAACAAAGAAAATGTACAAAAAAAAGAAAAACAATTGTTAATAAATCAAAAAATAAAAAAATAAAAAAAATACACAAGTTGCATTTACAACAAATTCTACAGCTTTTATTTAGTTTTATTTCCAAGAAAAACTTTGAACTGTTACCAATTTCCATACAAAATGAACTGTATTCAAAGTAACTGTACTTGCGCATTGATCAAATATATTTTCAATTAAGTACAATAATTAAATGATTTATATTCATTTTAATAATAAACGTATTTGTTTTCGAATACATCAAAGGATTTTTACTGAGCTCAATTTTGCAATTTAAAGAAATGGGCAGCACTGGTATGCTATTAATGGAAACAGCCTGTTGAAATTAGTATAAATATAATAATAAAGTATTATTATTATTACATATAAATCATGCCAATCCCAGTTGGCTCTGAAAAGCTCAACGAAATTTTGAAATTCTTGCTGCCAGAACCAATGGGAAATTTCTTCATTCCAGTTTTGTACTCCGTTGTGTGCACAGCAAAAATATTTTTTCACCTTTTTGGATCTCGTTCAATGTTGGGTTGAGATTCAAGTAAATATAACATATTTGTCTATAAATGTATAATATAATTCTCTTTTTTTCAATTTGAAACAGATAATAATAAAAAATTTTGGTTACCAACTCTGGCGCTGGTGCAACACTTCGGGTCACAAAGTTGGAAACATCAATAAGAAACTCATCGGCCAATTTTCACACCTATTTCCGTAAGCTTTTAACATGTGCTGGCATCCGGGCGGCTGTTGTGGCATACCCGCTGGCATTCAGTGCACAAACTTTTGTTTTAACTATTGGACAGGTTGCCCGACGACGCCCTGCTGTCGCACCAGCTGCGTGCCTCCCTGTCCGCCGTATCGTGGTTGCTGCGGTGGTCCGCGTTGCGGCTCTTGTTAGCAACAGGCTTAGAAGGAAATCAGGTCTGGAGCGCCATGGAGAAACATCAACAAGAAACATTTCTTCAAAATCAAGTCGTCTGTTACTCTAGTAAAAATATCCACAATTTGATGTTTATAACTTTATTTTAAGAATATATAATACAAAGAACAAATTCGGATCAATATGATTTTTACTTAGTATATGTATGCAGTCCAAAAATAATTCAGAGCATATAAGTTAAAAGCCGTCAAAATCTTAAGTTACACAAACAAGCATAAAAACTGTACAAAATAAATATCAGAAAATACTACATTTTTATAAAATAAACCCATATACTATACTATTTCACATTATTTAAACAAACTTTAAGTTTACCAACTGCTTTTTTTAAAATAATATCCCAACAAAATTTGAGTAAGTTGGCAGAGCCTTATATTTATTTGCTTTATAAAACAATTAATCGATATATTTATATATATCGGAATGGTAATGTCAGATTTGCTCCACAACAGATTTGTTTGCAATAAAGTATTTTGTTAGGACGCGTTACACCTGCCACACATGGATACGAAGTCCAACGATGACTCTGGTGGCAGTGATTCCCTGGACAAATCAATGCAAAGGAAGTGTGTAATGGTTGAGACAAGCGCCACAACAACGGAGCCCGCAGCGGAGACAGACAACTGCAGTAGGGATTCCGCTGCACTAAGAGAGTCGCCACCTGGCGAACCAAAGACTGATGTGTCAAGCGCTGAATCGACCATTGGTGAAAATTCGACGGCCTTTAAAAGCAGCAGCAGCAGCAGCAGCAGCAGCAATATTAATACAACGGCAGCAAGTGCTGCATTTGAGACGAAAGTAAAACTCATTTCTCAAAACCTCAAAGAGACAACGCTGGCGGAATCAGAGGCCCCTGCCCCAACAACGAATACGTCGAACGACGTCGCTGATGATTCGCTGATAGATGAAGTGGGGGACCAACATAGTAATACAGACAGCTGCGAGCAGCGCGTCAAAAAAGTCCGATTCCATCCAGACGTCAAGGAAAACGATGGCGGCAATCGTGTCAAAAAGAAAAGACGCTCGGCCAATAAGGCGAGTCTGAGCTGTGATGGCATAAATGTGGAGGACGATGGCAAGGAGTGCGGCGACGACGCGGAAGAAGAGGAGGAATTTAATTTGGCCAAGACAATTGCCGAGGCGGATGACTACTTAAAGCAGCATCCGCTGACGTTTGTACGGCGCGTCGAACAAAATGGCGAGCGACTCCGCGACGGCCTACTGAACATTGAGGATATGCCACAGCTTGTGGAACGCGAGGTCAGAGCGGAAAGGCGCAACGAAGATGATTTCTATAAGAAATACAAGCCGGAGAACGGCATAGAGCGAGTATTAGGCAAGGAGACAAAGGCGGGCAAGGCAAGTTCCCTTAGTAAACAGCACAAATTTTCGGTCTTTAATTGTTAAATACATTTATAGGTTGAGTATCTGTTGCGATATGAGAATCATGGAGGTCTGTTTTGGGAATCAGAGGACTTTATACGACGCATGTGTCCAAATCTATTAAAGGCCTATGAGAAGAACCGTGAACGAAGGCAACAACGTTTAGTAAGTGTCTAGCCTAATTAAAGTATATTTAGCAAGCTAAATAAATAATAATTTGAATATTTCAGATGCATCATGTTGCCAAGCGTCAAAGCCTGCGTCAGCGATATACGGATTTCTAGTAACATAAATTCATATAGCTTTTAGGATTCGAATTAGGTTCCGCAAGTAACTGTAACATTTTTGTAATATGGAGTAAATGATTTTCTTTTGTTGAACGAAACTTTCGAGTTAATTGCCATCGTGATTGTGTGAATATCGATAGACGCTGGCATGAGCTATCGAGTTCGTTTAAGCACAGCTGATTCTAAGCCTTTAATTCACTTGGATGATGAGACAGTGAATATCAAAATTTTATATTGTTTTGTCATGTATGGCTTTGAATTGTGGAAAAATAATATCACGTCTTGGGCCGTTGCCATTCGGCTGTTAACGTAGGCAATATCGATTAACTATCGATAGCTACTGTGTGGCATCGATAATTAAGGTTGGCGATACAATATCAACAATCCTAGTTCTAGTTTGACGGACGCAGTGTCTAAAAATTAAAAGTAGAATTAATCAAAGAAAAACCGTGTGCAAACGTGTTCAAATCTCAGCACACGGGCATCTAATACAGCATTGTGATTGTTAAGCCATAAATAGGATAAATTCGATAGAAACCTGTAAGAATTGGCATCGCGGGGCCAAAAAAGTATTGTGCGAGAACAAAAGAGAAATTTTTGTGCGTGTCACTGTCCGTCATCCTCCACCCCCTCTCAAAGGCCTAGCAGCGTTGCGATCAGCAACGGGCACAAACGGTAAACGTTGCCAGTGGCCCAACGAAATGCAATAGACTTTGCCCGCATTTTGCAATTTTCATGAATATCTCATTGTGACGGCAGGTGAAAGTGCCATTACAGGTAAGCATAAGCTAGTACGTATATTCGGCGTACATATGTACATATATCTTTTGTGTTGCTCAGCGAGCTGGCCAAAAATGCGCAGATAGCACTTATTGCCCAAAATAAAATAGTCGTACCAGGAATTGAAAACAAACAATTTGCCAGAAATCTGTGGGCTGCGTGGGATTCGTGGGATATGTGCGCATTCATATATACAATTCATCATAGTTATCGATAACGGTACAATATATCTGATGAAACTAGTAACTGTTTATGCTTCAATTTGATTTTTGACACCAAAAATTATTTGTCATCCTGTTTATGGAGTTCTGATAGACATTCGATGACATTTATAAACACTATGTTAGGTTATGGTATGCGTTAGCTGTTTTTAATGGTTCTACTCTTATATATTTGTATTCAAATTGAGACCGCAAGCTCATCACAATAATAACTAACCATTTTGTTTAAAGGTATTTTTTAATTAGGCATTTTAATAATTGCATATACTATAGACTTTTGTCATGTCATTTTGTCAACAAAGCCCTTGTCAAAAAATCTAAACACATACATACATACATATATATTCAGTTGCTTGGCCTTTTTAAATAATAATTGCGCAATATGCCCGATATTTAACCAATTTCAATTACGTTCGGGTATTAAAAAGAAATAGCAAAAATCTATATGCTGCTGCAACAATCTGTTATCGATATACCCCTGTCACTTGTTTTGATATCGTGCACTGCACCTGCAGTACCAGCAGCAGCCGTTGTTGCTGCGCTGCCCGACAATCAGATAACGTTCGACTTAGCTCTGTGACTCTATAAATAGCCGCTGCATATTCAATATAGTTGTCTTCCTTTGGGGCTTTTGCCATAGGTCAGAGTTGGACTAGTGCGTAGTTAATCTTAATATCACAAAGAATTCTGCTCGTTGGCAATTGGATGCTGCGCAGACGAACGACAACGAATCATTGTCTTTTCGTGAACTTGACGTTGACCGCTGGACTTTTGTTTATTTGTTAAATGCGCGTGGCAGTTCACTCAATCGCCAGTCACTCTCTCACCATAATTCTCTCTCTCTCTCTCACACATTCACTATCTGTCTCTCTTTCTGGCTCGTTTCATTGTTTGGTTCGTTAACCCAAAAGAACTACGCAACAAGCAAACATACGGGAACTGCCAGGTCACACAACCAAAGTGCTCAACTGAACAAGCAACATGCCGGAAGAGGAGCCACCACAGAAACCAATGGATGAGCAGCAAAATCAACCACAGCCACCCGGCGCCAGCGATGGAAATGTGGAGGAGCAGATGCCGATGACTCAAAATGAATCGTCCACAGATTACGTTGTAACGGAGCTATCCGCCGAAGAGGCAAGTCGATTTAAGCTCGTATCATTTTGTTTGTGTCTTGCTTAACGTTTGCCCTATTTTCCCTTTGCAGATGCGTGCTCGACGGCTGCGCACTTTGGCGGCACGTAGTAGCGTCCTGAGCGCTGCTAATGTTGTCGCTCCGCTGGCAGCCGAGAAACCATCTCGGATTCAAGCAAACGTTCCGAGTGAATCGCGTTTGGTGCGCGAGGTGTCTGCCGGCTCGAGCAGCATGGATACAACAAATGCATTTGGCGACAAAGATACCATAACATGGTCCGACCTGGGCAACAAGCCGGACACGGATGTGGAAATGAAATCGGTTGCATCGACACCCATACATGACGTTGAGATGACAAGTGCAAACTCCATCTGCGCGCCCAACGCCGTGCTACATAACTCGGAGCCCAAGCCGCAGAAAAAAGTGCCCAAAAATGATTCGTCACTACTTAAGAGCGCCGATGAGCGCAACGAACAGATGCTGTCGAGACTGTTGAATGCCACATGGAATGAATATGGCAGTGGCTCCATCATTTGTGTGCAAACTGCCAGCTTTCTGGAGCTATATCCTGAGCTACGTTTCGAATTTGAGCCGATTATATCGGGTGTGCTGCTTGAGACTGCATTTAAGTTCTACAACGATGAGGTGGATGACAGCATGAAGATGGATAGTGATACACCGCTTGCCTCCGGTGTGAACGACGCCAATGGCGACGATAAGGAGTTCTCCTCAGCCAAAAAGATCAAAAGCGACGACACCGAAGTCCAGGAAATACTGGCCAATGCCGTGGCTTCCAGCAGCGCCGCCGAAGAGGATCAGGGCGCAAGTGCCACTGCGACGTCCAGCCAATCTGAGATAACGTCCAGTGATGCTGGCGTCACTTGCGTGGTGCCTCCTCCCCTTAATATAGTGACTACCTCCAAGCACAATGCCATGCTACATCTGCTGCGTTGCTATCAGAACTATCAAACCGAGCTAGCTCGGCTCCGAGCCAACGATGTAGGCCAAGCAGTGGACGATAGCACGCACAAGGCCTTGACAATGGCATTTACACATATTATGCGAGTATCAGTGCTAGTTCTAACGGATCGCATCCAGCAGAACCTCAACTATCAGCTGGACCAATCAACCTTGCTGGAGCTCATGTACATGGATCGTGTCAGCGAGTCCTTCCTCATTGACCTGGTGGCCGAAACGTATCAGCAACGCGAGATTTTCGACGAAATATTCGGTCAATTGCTACGTGGTCTGTTTAGTGGCATGCAACGCAACATTTGCAGCTCGAAGATCAGCACGCAGCAGATCGATTGGCTTTCCAAGTTGGTGGTCATTAAGGTGGGCAATGTTCGCCCCATTGCCGATTTGGTTGCCCGCCAACCAAACTATATACCGCCCATATGCACAAAGATACCGGGACGTGAAATTGTCAAGTGCAGCTACCTGGGCCCTTTTCTGTCCGTCTCCCTCTTTGCCGAGGAGAACGTAAAATTTGCTGAATACACCACCAAAAACAAGCTTGAGGAAACCACCATAGCGCGCCTACGCTGGGTATGTCTTGAAATGTTACCTTTCCCCCTCCCAATATTCAATCATTTCTCTATCTGAATTTCTCTCCGTGCAGGAACTGCACTCAACGCGCACTCAAATGCATACGGTTTTCCACTCGCTGTGCGTCAATGCCAGCAGCCGTCCCAAGACTCTGGAGTACATTTCTCAAATTCTACGTCACAACGATCGTCGCGTGCAATTCGCCAGCGATGAAAAGTTGCTCGCTCGCGATGGTTTCGTCATCAATCTGATGAGCGTGCTGCAGCAGCTGTCGGTCAAGATCAAATTGGATCGCATTGATCCGAATTTCCATTACTACAACAATTCGTTGGTTAACATCGAGCAGGATACGAAAATCCGTTACAGCGAGGAGGAGTATAAGAACTTTTTGTCGAAGAATTTCCCAACCCCAGCGGAGAATGTGAACTTCCAGACGCAATGCTGGTTCCTTACCCTGCAATCTCATCATCTTGGCTATCTGCCAGCAATTCAACGATATCGCCAAAAGGTGCGCGCCATCAAGGAACTACAGAAACTAATTGACGAGTTGGATCGCACCAAGCCCCACTGGGTGAACACACGTTATGCCAATCGCAACATTCAGTTCAAGGATCGATGGGAAAAGCAACTGCGCAAACTTAACCGGTAAGGAATGCAAATATTATAATATATAAAACCCATTTCATATCCATCTAATGAACGTTATGTTTGAATCACATTTTCTTTTACAGCTCCAAGACATGCAGTGAGATAACGCTCCTTGATCCCGCACTCCTGCAGCGCTGCACTGAGTTCTATTCGACTGTGTGCGAGTTTATGCTTTACCAATTCGAGGGACGTCCCATTGAGGGTCCGTTCATCTCGAAGCTGCCGGTGCAGCAACTAAAACCGACTGACGCATTTTCCGCACTGCCCGAGTGGTACATCGATGACATCGCCGAGTTCATATTGTTTGCCATGCAGCATGCCAATGTGGACATCAGGCAGGGCATCGATCATTCGATCATCACATGGCTGTTGACCTGCGTCTGCGCCTCGCATCTCATCAAGAATCCCTATGTAACTGCCAAATTGGTTGAGGTGATGTTTGTGTTCTCCTTAAAGCCAGCCAATTCAGTTAATACAGCGGTAAGTAAATGAGAGAGAGATGTTCAAAGTAGATGCATAATAAGGTCATTTTCTCACAGATGTGGAACCACGAGCTGGCACAGAATGCGCTAGTCAGCTCGCTAATGCGATTTTATGTGGATGTGGAGACCACTGGCCAAAGCACTGAGTTTTACGATAAGTTTACTATAAGGTAAGCTGGAATAGATCTATAGCAGAACTTTACTGAAAATGCGCCCTCCTTTCATTCTTTCAGATACCACATTAGCCATCTATTTAAATCCATGTGGGAGAATCCCATACATCG